TTAAGTTTGTACCTCAGCACAAGCCAGGAACATTTTTGCAAGAGCTTGTTTCATTGAACTTGATATAGACTTCGTAAGCCCGAAGTCGAGCAAAATCGGGCGGTGTGGGTGTTGCTTGCTTACAAGAAAGTTTCCTGCATGAAACATACATCTAACATGGATCCATAAGAGCCATCAACTCAATCTATGGAGTGATTGATCCAAAATACCACTACATCACTTCTATTCCCCAAAAAGGGCCAAATTCAAGCATACCAGGATGAGGATCGCCATTGAAGAAGCCATCAACATATATCTGATGAGCATATGCTCGTGTTATTTCTTCAACAACTTTTTTCTTGTCAATCCCATATGCCTCCAGTGCTTCATTATCACTTAATCGAATGCCATCCATATATTGCAAGATGAGGACCTTCTCAGATGACTGCCATGTGAAACCAAAGTGGAAAGGAGATAAGAATTATTAAACAAGAATAGAAAGAGGACTAATTGGATTGTTTTTTTTTTAAACTAGATATAGACTCAATTTTCTGAGTTTCACCTGTATAACTTCTGGAATCAGTACATCAGGACTACTATAGGGACTGTTGTCATTATGCACACTTTTGCCACAGAGATTTTCGGAAACTTTTCTCGTATTCTCTACAATAGGAAGCTCATTATCAGCTACAGTAATCATGAGAGGTATAAATGTACAGAACCTCAAGATATCGATTAAATTGAGATACAGTAATCATGAGAGGTATAAATGTAAAGAACCTCAAGATATAGTTTAATTTGCCAATATGGAGAAAGAAAAGAAATACCTCTATTGTTCAGTCTACATATTTATTTTCTTTTTTCCGTTTGAGAAAAAAATCTTCAAATTTTCAATAGGCTACTTATAATAAGCATACCTGCTTCACGATTAAAGTCGAGTTCTTTGGGTGCCTCTTTACACCATTCATCTATCATCGGGCTGAAGTCATATTGAGGCTCTGCCCATGCTATCCAGTCAACTATGGATTTTGCATTCTTCAAGTCCTGCAGGATCAACATCCATCAGGCAACGACTTTTGTCATAGGTTTAATGTGATCATGCTGAAATAATCAGATAGGGAACCTCTAATATGACTTCTTTGATGCCCTCGTGTTGAATTTTAACAACAACTTCCTGCCCCTCTTTCAGTGTTGCACGGTGGACTTGTGCTATCTACAACATCACACCATATTTAGGTACCATCTAGATTTTCTGGTTTATTTAGTGATTGTACAACAGAGGATATAAATCATTCTGCATCGATAACCATATGCTAATGCAGACTTACAGATGCTGTTGCAAGAGGTGTTTCAACAAAACTACAGAAAAGATCACTGATGGATTTTCCAAACTCCTTCTTTAGGGTTCGGCGAACCTGCGCAGACAGGAAGATCTTATTCAAAAGAAAAAGGACAAGAAAAAGAGGACTTACATATTTATAAACATGCTAGCTTATGACCTCAGCATATGCAATAGCTGATAGATTCTCACAACTTTATCTGAGAGATGACTTCTTAATTAAGTAGATAAATTAAACAAAAATACTATGTGATCTAAATTTCGATATTGTCCCCTTTTCTTTCCCAGTAGACCTTTAAGATCCTTACTGTAACATTCTGATGATTCTACCAAAGTTACTGACTTATATGTCCATGAAGAGAGAAACTATTTCTGTATTCATCTATTATGACTTAAAAAGAACTCTCCTTCCCACACTGCATAGACTTCTCCTTTCTTCCCTTCCAAAAAAGTAAGAATTAAAATCAAAGTTTAGAGTTTAAAGTAGAATACAAGAAGACATCTTTGATAAGAAAAAGGAAAGATAATGGGACTTCAAGGCCAACATGTTAGCAAGCAAAGAGACGGAGGAGGGGGAAGAGTGGGGGTGGGGGGCAATAAATCATTCATTGTAGAATAACTTACCAAAAGGGTATTAGATCCTTCAACTGTAAGAATATCCATTTTCAAGAAAGAAAGAAATGGAGACCAAAGGTGCATCCAGTTATAAAAAGGGACATTTGATATTGAGTTAGTGAAATCTGTCATAATTCCATACCAAAATTAGTGTACTAACTCAAAAGACAATTCCTTCCCTTATGACTAACATATGCAAAATAAGAATTACCTTTTGCATAATGATACAAAAAGGGACAATGAAAGGTGCTAAGCACTTGTGTAGTTTGTCATGATGTTCAAAAGTTGATCACAAGGCATGAACTCAATTAAGACTCAGGCACGTGAATAACCAGTAAAAAAAGAACCTTACACATCCATCTCCAAAAAAGATATCAAAACTGCATGTCATTTTTTTTAATGAGCATAACTCACCTCTTTCAGAGGACGAGGAGGAAGAGAATCCTGCAACTGCCTGAGGGCGTTTATATAAGCCTCAGGAAGCACATCAGCTCGAGTAGACAAATATTGGCCAAGTTTCACCCACAAACCTTTTAACTGTAATATCAGATTCAGCAAGCGTTTAGCGTTTCTCTGGTGGGTTCTTTCCCAAATAGCATCCTTCTTACTTTTGCTGAGATATTTCACTCTCTTCTGTACAGCCTGCCACAACAAAACATAAAACTCGAGGATGGTTTTCTGAGTTCAAGCAAACATGCAAACTAATAAAAGAGAGAACAAATAGAGTCAGGAGGGACAAATGAACCTTATAGTCCAAGTAGATCACCAAAGCAACAGCGAACACCTGTAGGCGCCTTCTGTAAATGTTCGCCCACCCCATTAGAAGTCAAAGGTTGTGTACCTCGTGCAAAAGTATTGCTAGCAACAGTATTTCTGAATTACAGTATGAATATTCCACCAAAGCTCTAGTGATTCTGGACAAAACACCCAATTTAGCTGAAGAAGGAGCTAACTGTATCAGGGATAAAGTTCATTATGCATCTATATCATCATCATCATCCAAGCACACTCATAGGAATGGAGCACAATACCAAGCAAGACTTTTAAATCGAGAAAAGGATCATCCGAACGAACAATTATAACATTCAAAACTATCAGTTTAGTCTGCGAATTAGCTCCGAAATTCCTGGACCAAATGACCTCAGAACCCAAATCAATAACCTATGAAGTAAAAGTCTAAAAGACAACACCTTTTTAAATATAAGCCATGGATCATGGGAAACAATAAGGAAATCATAACATTTCTATTTAGAAATCGCACAGGACGCAAAAAAAAAGTTTTTTTTTTTTTAAATTCCTTCTCGTCACTAAAATTCCTGTTCCCTCTACACTTGGGGGTAAATTGATAGGATCAAAATGTTATCATATTCAACATAATTATGATGAGAAAGAGTTAGCAATCTAAAATTGAAATCAGGCATTCAGCTAGGAATTCAGTTGTCAGTCAATTAAAACTCAAGAAATTGAACATCAAATGAATTTTAAAGTAGATCCAAAACAAAGAAATGGATCTAACCTCAAAAGACCGACACGAGCTCAGAATTCCACCCAAATATCCAGCGACAAATCTAGCATTAAAGAAAACAAACAACACTAACTTCCAGGGTTCCCAAATAATCCAAAAAAGCGATCAACAATGTATCTCTTTTATTTGTTAGTTTCTTTCTTCTTTTATTTATGAAAAAAAAAATAGAGAGAGATACGGCGAAGTGCGAATGGGAATCTGGGAAGCTTCCGAAGACTAGAAAGCACGGGGTCGTTGGAGGCGACGAGAAGAGATCTGGGCCGTTGGTTTAGTCGACGGTAGTCTCTTTTTGACGGCTACTGTTCCCCCGCGAAGGTAGTTGCTTTCGTATCCTCTTTTCTTTGTCTGAAGAGCAGAGGAGACGGAGCGGGCAACGGATTAGTCCGCGTTGCATTTACGAAACGCTCCTTTGGTTAACTATTAATAATATGAGTGCGCGTCTGTAAATTAAATGTGTTAGGTTGCTGAAAAAAAGATAGCTAAATATCATAAAACCCAAACCCCCAACTTTGGATGATTATTATCACTATCGGAAAATTTAGAAGGGTTTCTTGATAAAATCTCAAAGTTAAATGAGATTTTCTAATAAAATTTGAAAGTTAATGGGAGATTTTGTGATAAAACCTATATTTATGGAGGTTTTGTAATATTTTGTAAGTCAAGGTGGTTTTTCAAATAATAGTCCAAAGTTAAGGGTGTTTTCTGATATTTAACCAAGAAATATAATATAACAATGGGCTGAAAGGTAAAGTTTTAAAATAAAAAATTAAAGTAATGAAAAGGAAAATAAAATATGAATATAAACAATTATTATAATTTGTATTATTTTTAAGAAAGATATTTTGCAATGAACCTTTACATCTTTAGGATCAATCTGGACACAAAAGATATTTTTAAGAAAGATATTTTATTTTTAAGAAAGTTATTTTTAAGAAAGACATTTTACAATGAACCTTTACATCTTTAGGATCAATTGGAATTTTTAAGAAAGATAAACTATTATTTTTAAGAAAGATATTTTTAAGAAAGATATTTTACAATGAACCCTTTAGGATCAATTAGAATTTTCTCATTTTCTCTTATGACGCTAGGGGTTTTAGTCCCAAATGGTGTCTGTGGATCAAACACATTCTTTCATCTTCCAAAGTTGCGGTCCTGGTCAATGGGTCCCCTTCCAAATTCTTCTCTTGTTACAGGGACCTTAGACAAAGAGACCCTCTCTCTCCTATGCTATTTCTACTAGTTGTTGATGTTCTAAATAGAATGCTCACCACTAGTGTAGCATCGGGAGATCTTTCTGATCCCCAGCTTAAGGGGGAATTAAACTCCATTAGATCCCTTCAATTTACAGATGATACTATCATCTTCTCTAAGGCCTCTTCTTCAGACATGATTACTCTCAAGATCATCCTTCTTATCTCTGTCAATATCTCAGGTCTTAAGGTCAACAATCTCAAAACCAATCTATTCTATCTAGGTAGAATTCCTCACAAAAGCCTACAACTAGCTAGAATCCTTAACTATTCTGTTGGATCCCTTCCCTTTTCATACCTAGGTCTGCCTCTCAAAAAATGGTCTCTAACTAGAAGGGAATGACAACCCCTCTTAGACTCCTCTAAAAAACTGTCTCTTTGGAAGCACAAATCATTGTCGTTTGGTGGTCGTCTAACCCTACTTAACTCAGTGTTGTCATCTCTTCCCCTCTACTTCATGTCTTTCTTTAAACTTCCTTCATGGCTTATCAAAGCCATTGACAAAATCAGAAGAAACTTCCTCTGGAGTGGCAGTCACCATTTTCCCAAAGCTAAGTGTCTTGTTTCCTGGGACACAGTGTGTAAAGATAAGCAAGAAGGGGGTCTAGGAGTTATCAATTTAGTCATCTTCAGTTCAACCTTTTTTCTAAATGGATTTGGAAAATCCTTGACAGAAACAATTTCATCAGCCGAGTGATCTTCTCCTTGTATTCTAAAGATGGTTCAAACCTTGTTTTATGCCTTCCTAAATCTCTGGCCTCTAAACTCCTCAAAGATCTGCACTCTATAAACTCAGATTTCTTTAGTTTTGCTAGATGGCAAGTAGGAGATGGAAAGTCTTGCAGATTTTGGATTGATAAGTGGGCCGGTGTCAACTCTCTCAGTAGTTTGTTCCCCAAAGCTTTCAACCTCGCCTTCTCCCCCAACTGTAATTCTCACTCCCAAGGGTTCATGGTTGATAACTTCTGGAACTGGCACATCATTTTAAGAAGAGGTTCCACCACAGTAGAGAGATCTGATATAGCAAGTCTGAGATCCTTTCTGGATACTCTATCCTCTGTTGATAGTCATTCAAAAGACTATCTTTGGTGGCCTCTTCATCTGTCAGGTAAATATTCAGTCAAGACCCTTTACACTGTGGTGAACTCTGGGGGAGTGAAATTACCTCTATTCAAATTCATATGGAAATCCCCCAATCCGACAAAGGTAAAGATATTTTTCTGGATTGTCAACAAGAATAAACTTAATATCAAGGCTAATCTCATATCTAATGGTGTGTTTGGGAGTTTACTTAGGAAAATGAAAGAAGGAGAAGGAAGGAAAAAAATTCCCCTTCCTTCTCTTCCCCTCCATTACACTCCAATTTGGGGTATAAGAATTTGGACCAAACTTCCCCTCCATTCCCCTCCTCTATCCTCCTAAATGAAACTCCCAAACAAGGTTAAATTAAAATTTTCCTTCCCTTCCCCCTCTCTACCTTCCATCCAAACAGGCCATAAAGGATGGAATATTGGTGACCCCCGATGCCCTTTTTGCTATCAGGAAGTTGAGAATCAAGACCATTTATTTATTCAATGTCAATTTTCTAATGCTGTTTGGTCCTTGCTTTTCCCTAACATTTGTGCTGATTTATGGCCTCACCACATGGATGAACTCATTAATATCCGCAGGAGCCCTATGATTAGCACAGATATCATATTAGTTTGGAAAGTTGTGTTACCTTGCTATTGTTGGTGGATTTGGAACATCCGCAATTTCCTAATTTTCAGAGATGTTTTGCCGACCCCTGAAAATATTGCCTCTAACATAGCAATATACACTTTTTTCTGGACAGGTACTGAAGAAGATAGAATGGCAAGAAGAATTCGTAGGGCTGCATCAAGCTGGAGTTCCAGGAAATCGCAAAGAAGAAAAATGTGAATGTTGCAGGAGGTAACTTCTAGCGAGACAGTCGGCTTCCCCCTTCTTCAGTAGGCATAGCCTCTGTCTTCCTCTTATCTTTTTTCTTTTCGGTCTCGAGGGGCTGTTTTGTGATATGTATCTCCAGGCTCTTCAAACTCTATGCTTTGGGTTTTTGTTTTGATAGTTTCCTTGTGATATAGTTGTTTTATCAGTTGTGAGGCCAGAATCATGGGTTTCTTGTTCTGATAGGTGACGACAAGGTCCGCTCCCTATCGTTCAATTAGTTCCATGTTTTCTTTCTTCACAAAGTCGTGCTGTTTGTAAATTTTACTGATTGGTAAGCTAATATATATTATGAACATGAAATCTCTCCCTGTTTTTTTAGTTCAAAAAAAATCTGGACACAAAAATTTTGCAAAGTTTTACTTACATCAAAATCGCCATCTATAATTTAGATATGTGCATTATGGATTATAGACTTATAGGAACGCCAGCTAACATCATAGAGGGACACAGTTTTTTTTTTAAATTATTTTCTTATAGCTATAAATGTAATTGTGATTTTTCACATAAACGCAACTCAAATGCCAATTGACATAGTGTAAATTGAGTATGCAAATTGAGTATGTTAGGAAGGTGGCCGTATAGATAGAGCTCTAGTACTTGTTTGCTCTAAAATCGACCGTGTGGCACTTAAAGTTTAGCGATATGGACTGTGAAGAATATACTTTAATGATAGAAAGTTCCTCCTTATTGGGAAATTGATTGATTGAAAATCAAGAAAGTATTGCATGAATGTAAATTGCATTAAAATAAAGAAATTAACTTACAAATCTAAATGATAATTTAAAGCAGAAAAACATAATGAAATAAACAGCAACATAAAGTAAAGACAACAAAGTAAATATAATAACATAAATTTTTAGTTTTGGTTGTGAGAACTGATCGCCTAGCATATTTCTCGGAGCATAACTACTCACGGGCTCACAACCCTTGCATTGAGCAATACTTACATTTGACCCTATTCTACCCTAAATTCTAGACTTATACCCCTAAACCCTTTAGTCAACCCCACATCCTAATCAATCACCGCGGGAGTACAGCCACTGTGGCTAGCATTGCTCGCCTTGCATTTCTTCAACCTCGTTCTCCTGCAAACCGCGATCTTCAAGAGTCTTGAGTTTTTCCCTTTCCGTCGAGATCTTATTTTACAATTTCATAAAAATAAGGGTGCACCCTGTGCAAAGCATGACCCCTTATTTTTTTAAGTACTGCATTTTGAATTTACTTTCTTCTAAGTTTTAATACATTTGATTTAGTTATTGTATGCTCATAAGTTAAAATCATATCTACTCCTCTACACTTAAAGGAGGATCCAAGTTTTAATATATTTGATTTAGAAATCATATTTACTCCTCTATATTTAAAGAAAGATCCAAGTTTTAATACGTTTGATTTGCTCTATTGTTTTGCTATAGTAAAACTATAGCATAAATAGTAATTTCAAGTATGGAGGAGCAGATTTGATTTACTGTTTACGATATAGTAAAATACTATAGCATGAAACATATCTCAATCGCAGAGGAGCAAATTAGATTCATTGTCTATGCTACAATACTTACTCTCTTATGATACAGTAAATTGCTGTATCATGAACAATATCTCTCTTATAAAGGATTAAATTTAGATTTACTGTAGTATAAACAATGATTCTTGAAGTGAAAATAGTGTTCTCGTGACAAAAAAAAAATAAGATCCCAATTATAAAACTTTCTTCTTTATAAAATATCTAGCTAGCAGTTTGGATGGAATAGAAGAGACACCCTTTTCTTTGGAGCGAAGCTTGGACGAACTCAAAACCGCATGTTTCATGTTCACAAATTTGTGGTCAGTTAAGCTACTTCAACCACCTTTTTTGACCTTTGTATTGTTTATTTATATCAGATGTGACTTTTTATGATAGAAGAGAAACTCAGAACTTCTTCTCAGACCAACTCGTGGATCTTTAGAAAATGATAATTATTAAATAAAATTCCTACTTACTCAAATTATCATGACAATCCCAGGAATTATCAAGTCAGCAAAATTTTTTTTTTGAAGATAATATTCTTCACAGTGAATAAACAAAAGAAAAGGAAATTTAAGTTAGTCAAAAGAAATTACATGAGAAGTTTCCGCCACTGTTCGGGAAGAGATACTCTATATTAATGCCTACAATTGCTTAGGTGGATGAACTGCATCGATTCATCTAATGAGCCCTACATTTAAAAAGACTTTTATATAAGCTATTGAACTAATATCCTTCATGGGCCCATTCATCGAGAAGATGCTATTAGTGAGTTGTAGGCTTTCTATATAATCAATAATATAAAGTATCTCATGACCAATCTTTGTTGGCTACCTCATTCACTTAATGCTTGGTTTGGTAGGAGGAAAGAGAATGTGTGATAGGAGGAAATGGAAGGTGAAGGAAGGGGAAAAATAAGCAAAAAGTTAGAGAGAGAATAATCCCTCTAAATTGGAAGGATACAAGAGGACAGAGGAAAAGGAATAGAAAAGTAAGCATACAGGCTAGGTTTAGTAGGAGAGTAGATACAGTAAAGTGAGGAGTAAAACTAAAAATCCTTTAAAGGGAAGGAAATACGAGGTAGAGTAGAGGGAGAAGGAAAAAAAATACAAAAATAAACTAAAAAGTAAAGAAAGAGAAAGCCTTTCCAATTTTGAGGGACGCAACAGTAAGATGAGAGAAAATAAAATATAAACTATAAAAAATCATATATCTCCTCTCACTCCCCCTCCAACCAAACAAGGACTATGAACTGTATATCATTCATTGCTCCTCATCGAGCCTCACCTCACATTATCCTCCCTCCTTGCTCCTACCAAACCAAGCCGTAAAAGGGATATCCCTCCTTCTACCTCATTGCACATCCCCTCACAAAACCTCCCCTCTTCAAACCCCCTACCAAAGCAAAGCTAAATGGTACCATTCCATCTACCACTTCATTCAACAATAGATGACAATGCTTAGATATAGTTTCGGCACATCAATTTGCAGAAATAATTTTGTTATAAAATACAAATTACAAAAATAATTTTCTTTTTTGCAGTATGAATTGAAAACTTCTAAATAGATCACCCAATTGCATGATATTTCTTGAAAGCTGAAATGGAATACAAAGTCCAGGTTAAACAATGTAAATAAGGAGCAAGCTCGCAAATCTGAGGGTAACGAAATTGGAACTAATACAGACAGATGAGATTTTGGAGATAGATGATGAACAACAATGCAGTTCATGCTATTACCAGAAGAAAACACTGATTTTCCCACTAGTTTCTTACTTAGGAGGTAAAAGTTGAAAAAGGAAGAAGATGGATACGTCCGCGTAAGGGGGCGCGTCAATTCTAGAGAAAAAAAATTGAAGTAAAAGAAACAATATTCAATTTTCATTGCGCAAACAGTGGACTTCCTGCTCGCCACTACCCTAATAGACGACGGAGCGAAGCACAAATTAACCACACACAAGAGGAAGCAGAAGCTGCTTGCAGACTGCAGGGGACCCAAAATCTTGCATTTGAGTCAAATCTGAAACTATCCTGATTACAAATCGAGGATATGGGCATGATTCAGAAGCCTCCATTTACCTGAAAGGAAGCAGACTACAAAGGACAGAGTACCCGCATAAAATAAGCCCGATCAAATCTTCAATTCATAATTTTGGCAAGTCGGGAGCACAAGGAGAGAAAAAAGAGAAGCAAAAAAAAAAATACTCAAAACGTGTAATGCATCAAATATACAATACGTTTGAGAGTTAACTAATAAGCTAACAGATTTTTGGTCCACATCACTGAGTACATCAGCAATACATTAACTAATACTAAATAGGACCCAAGAAGGAAAATAATGACATTGCCAAAACAAGAATCAGATAAGAGTGCATGAGTAATCCAGAGAGAAGTCCCATAAGCAATAGAAATAACATCGTAGAGCAGATGCGGTAGAATCCATGGTCATTCCTCACAGCAAGAGATCAGTCCTGTATCCACCTTAAAGCCTGCACCTGAGAACCAAACAAGTACAGTTGATAAGTGTATGTTAAGGATCCGAGAACAGAAAAAACAACAGACAAATGTAGAATGCCCATAGTCTCCCTTCAGCTGAAACATGAGTAACGATGTATTATAGTTGAAGCTGCCCCTGCGAATTTAAACACTGTATCATAATGGGGACAAGCTACCAAACTCAAAAGAACAAGCAAGAAATGAGATACTAAAATGAACAAAACTAAATAAAGATATATGATTAATGATGCTTATCAACATCTCTTCATACATAGAATGCTTATCAACAGTACTTTTGCTCAAAATTGTTGCTTGCTTCCCACTTAATCTCTCCACCAACCCCCACTAGAACAGGCACGCGAGGCAAAAGAAAAGGAATACAGTTACTCAGAGAAAACCTAAATTTTACCAAAGGACATTTCAGCATCACTAGTGTGTTTATTGATCATTTTAACAGAAAAAAGCCTTGAAGTCATTAATAGATCAACCCTACCATACCAGATTCAATAAGAGTCTTCTAAAGTACCAAGAAAGTTTCTCCTGAAAACTGGCAACAAGCATCCATAAGAAAGCTGATTTTTATTTCTCAAGGTTTTATGATCTGGATGTACTTCGTCAGATGTGGTGTGTGTGTACGAGATTAATGGGTATCCTTGACAAGGAGGGGATTTTCCTCCTTGACAATGATGTGACACAATCTCCACCATGTGAAAGAGAGAGAATAAAATAAGAGAGAGAATTTCACATGGTGAGGATTATGCCACATCATTGTCAAGGAGGAAATCCCCTCCACATCAAGGACACCCATTAATCTCATATATATATATATATATATAGAGTAGAACTTGTGTCAACTTAAGTGGATAGTGAATAGTGTGTCCACCAAACTTTATATCCACTCATTTAACATATAAAAAGTCACTTCATATCATGCAAGGATCCCTAGGAAACATCTAAGGGTTAAAAAGTTTAGTGGATGTCCACTTAAGTGGACACAAGTTTTGCTCTATATATATATATATATATAGAGTAAAACTTGTGTCAACTTATACTATAGTATAGAGAGGAGAAGAGAGAGAGATTAAATGGGGTATACCTTGTCATAGGAGGGGATTCCTCCTATGACGCCTCTAATATATCACATGATAATTGAGCGAGCACATTATGGATGATCCGCTCCGTTGAAGCTTGATCTAACATAATTCCTAAAACCCCAACACACGAAGTTTGGGGTGAATCCATCGTCGTTTGATGATCCCTCCATCGAGCATGTGAAAAGTTCTATTCATTCAAACCGTTAAATATTGATACGAGTGGATGAAGGGTCAAAGCGACGGCGGTTCACCCCATAACTTTGGTTGTGTTGGGTTTTAGAATATAGAGATCAAGTTCAACGGAGATCGGTCACCTATATATGTCGTTGCAATCATTGTGATTTTAGAGGCGTCATAGGAGAAATCCACTTCCTATGACAAGGATACCTCCATTAATCCATTATTAATATATATATATATATATATATATATATATATATATAATATAGGAGAGAGAGAGGAGAGAGAAGAAAAATGGGTATACTTGGTACCGAATCACAAATTTTGTGCTTGTAAAGTGGAGGTGTCTGCATTCTCATTCACGTCATAGTTCGTAGGGACTAACATCCAAAACACATGAATGGGTCCCGCACATTTGAATAATAGAGTGAGGATAATATGCCACATCAACTACCAGCACAAATTTTGTGCTTGTAGGCCCGCCGGCCGCGCCCCCGCAAGCATATCCAGTATTCCTCATATATAATATAATATATATATATAATAATAGTATATAATATATATAATATATAAGTTTAACTTAAAGCCTATATTCGTGAATCCACCCAGAGGTAGGGTTTTCTAGCATTTTCCTTCTCTGCAAACTTTCTTAAACATAATCTACTTAGCAATTACTTATTGAGGTCTTCCATGTCCAAATGACAGGATGACACGTAAGGAGCTGAGTACCTCTTTGCCCTTTAGAAAAAGTAGATTCAGGGAAAAATATATCACAGTTCTAGCAACAATAATTATCTAATCTGAAGAAGACGAGCTCTCCCAACACCAGTGATGAGACAGGATCCAGTTAATTGAACAAAAAGTATTAATAGGTTTCTTTCAAAAAGATAACAAAATCACCATTACATGCATCATAAGAAGTTTTCAGCAAATAATAATTGAGAGGCTGTGACCTACTGAACCCATCTCAGTAAACACAAATATCAAATCCTACCCGGACTCAGAGGCCAACAAAGGGTTGTCACACAGCACTATGAAATACGGAAATAGAAAATTGGGGTCTCCCTAACCAAAAAAAGACATGTCTAATTGTCTATTCCTGCCCAATAATCACACATGTAAAAGAAAAGATTTTCATTGACAAAAAATTGGTCATATGAAGTATGTTATGTCCTTCTAGGGAAAGCTAAACGTCTTATAAACTACATTACCATCATGTGCAAACAACAGTAATATATTAATATACAGGCATTCATTCAGAAAGATGCATATAAGTGAGTCCTTGTGTCTAGATTTTGAAGAATGGTCACATCCAACATGTCACATGCAAATATGGAGCAGATATAATGATACAAGCAATTCTTTAAAAAGCAGGATATGTACAGTAGGAATACCTTGACCAGACATAATACTATCATTTATGAATGTCTACCTTAGTAACTTTACTATCTTAAACAAAAATTGAACAAATAACAATTGAATGAATTTCCAAATGATGTTCTACCAAAGGAGGAACATACGAGAAGACAAATCACCTCAACATTACTTACAAGCATACTAGAATTATTTTTCTTTGAGTTACGTAAAACAACTGCCAATTGCTCAATATATAACAAACAAAGCCTACAGTATAATACCCTCATGATAAACTACAGAGTACTTCTCAGTTCTCAGGGATATCACATACGTATTTAGATAAAAATGAACTACTTTTACCAATACAGACCCTCATGCTAAACTATAGTCTATAGAATACCTATTAGGCATATCCAATATTTATTTACAGAAAAATAAGCTAAGTATACATCTATCCTCTTATTATGTTTAAATAACCAGCTTCATGATCATCCACTAGGGGTCAAAATCCTAGGTTAAGTAAGACCATGGTTTTTACTACTGTTAAGTGTTCAGCATATTGAGTGTTCGAAAGATTTTTAAAGAAAATAAAGAGACAGAAGAGTTAGATACTATGCTTAACATACTTTTTCATGACCTTACGAGTCCTCCTCATTGTTCCATTACATTGCTTCTGCGAAAATGCTTCCGCAAACCCCAACAATCAGAGCCTCCAGAAACACACCATTACGCTTGACAACAATACTTGTCAAATTCCACTAGTATTCTTCCAATTACCAAATTTAAATATACTCCAATAACCTTAACATCACCTGCCATTCAAACACTTAAAAAGCTCTCTTGCTATTATAACGTATCCACAGAGTACTTATTTACCACAAAGATTAACTATCTCCTCCTGTTTAAATAGCGTAAAAATGATGGTAATTGGCATACTAAGAAAGTAAGCTATAACACGTGATGTGAAAGAACAAATCTCTTCGTCTCTCACAGTCTAAATCCAACAATTGACATGATAACACAAAACAAGTGATAGGTAAACTGAATACCCTCAATATTGTTGAAATTGACATGATAACAAGTGAAAGGTAAACAGTAACTTGCATACCCTCAATATTGTTGATACCTTGAGAAATTCATCAGTGGGGCATTTCATCCTGTCCTCAAATATTTTTTTTAACAAATCTTAGTGTCTAATTTAAAGTAGCAAACCAAATGATCCAATGATTACCATGACAGAATGTCTTGTTGCTTTCTGCAGTCTCAAATCACATGATGAGAAAAACATACAAAAAGAAACATCTTGCCCTCGAATATTTTTTTATGACCACTTACAACAAGCAAACGACGACAATGAATGACCTAGCTGAACAATTCATCTGTCGGGCATGCCATCCTATCCTCGAATTTTTTTTAAACAAATCTAGTGTCTAGTTTAAAATAGCAAACCAAAATATATCCCATAGTTACCATGACAGAACATCTTGCTGCTTTCTGCAGTCTCCACTCACATAATGAGAAGCATCTAGCTCTTTAGAAAGATAACTTCTCCGACAGTCTGTCTTGATTTTTAACTTAAAATCAAATGTCATACTCCAATTATCCTAAGAAAGATGACTTTTCCCACAGCCAGTCAGTTGGAAAGTCAGCGTCACACACGAGCGAGACTGACTTCACGAAAAAACATATAAATATAATACCAGTTTGGTCAAAGTTTTCTGTCTCTTAGACAATAAGACAAGCTAACTGATAAAGAAGAAAATGCAACATTACGCATTAGGGTCTACACTGCAGGAAACACCATGCTCCTGCCACAGAAGGAAGGTTAAGCAGCCATTAATCACAAACAAATTGCTACGTGGTATAACATCTCTACTAATGCAATCATTCAACACATGCAACAAAACAAGAAAGATTATAACAAAGAAAGTCCACTCAACATACCTATTCATATAGATGTTAAACGTCTGATATATGCATTTCAGAGATTCCATCACATAACTCAGACGAACATCAACAACTCCGGGCGGCTGAAGACATTGCTTCCTTCATCCTCCAGCACAGGATATGCAGCAACAAGTGCATCTTGCGCTCCAATATACAACGAGTTGTATATCTTCCAATACACTTCCCTTACTTTCCTTGCCGGATGAAACAGACCCTGAAGGCAGTAGTTAAGAATTGTAGCCGCACCCAATGCCACTCTCATGCCTTCAATAGCCTCCATCACAGCATTGATAACATGAGGAGATGTCTCAAAGATGTTAGGCCACACGTAATTGAGTAAATGGACCAAGGCATCCTCACAACCCAGTCCAGCTACTCCCAAGGCCATGTGCTTAACAGCAGAAGCAGCAGTCTGTCTGTGAACCAGATCCCTGTCCATTAAAGCATCCTCAAGCAATGGCGTAACAGCATAGATGTAATCCTTGCCCATTTCTCCTATGTACTCAAAGAGGAAAGAAAGTGATTTCAGAACCCCATTCTGCACATTAAGCTCTGGCACACGGTACTCATTCATAAGGGCAGGTAGAACAGTGAATGGAGAGCAGGTTTCTGCAACAATTGCAATGGCAACAGTAGTACAGACACGATTCTGACGCTCTTGCACTTTCAGATTGTTCAATAGAGTTGCCAGGACATCTTGAGGACCAATTGCTTTTGCTATGTACCCGAAAGTGTTCACTGTAGCTCTTCTGATTCCCTTCTTGTGTGCCTTCAACATCTCAAGAAGCTCAAAACATATCCTCATCCATTCCCTGGCAGGAACATACTCAGCACCACGATCAGCAATTCTACCCACAAGATCAATACAATTTTCCTGGACCTTTTCATGTCTGTTCTTCAGGATGGGTGTAAGACGGGGAAGCAGATCTTTAATAGGAGGCGTCATTTTATTCATACCAATGACGTTGACAATTGCCTTCAGTGCTCCTAAAATAGAACCCAAGACTTCAGGATATTCTTCTCCCAGGTACTCATACAGAACAACACCCAAGTGACCCATCAGTTGCTCTTCTTGGCACTGCTTCATGACGACTGCAATCCGGGATATAAGATCAGCTGCTTGTTGCCTAACCTTTGCACTCTTGTTGTTCAAACGCCATTTGATTGTCCCACAAATCTGAGGAAGGTATGGCTTAACTCTCTGGCCAAGAGAGTTCACCACAGCACCAAAACCATTAAGCATTACATTTGCATCATCACTGGTTTGCTCTTGGAAAGCATAGAGAATCCCATCAATAAGAAGCTCCTCCAACCGAGCATCAATATCTGAAGCGCCCAAGTTGGCAACAACCTTCTCAATAGTCTCCATCACCATTCTCCTATAAGGTTCACTTTCATCCTTGAGATCCTCTACTACTCTTCCCACAATATCAGCAACTCCAACCTTGTTTGCAATCTCAACAGTGGTTTCCACGAGCTGCTTGTAGTTCCTACGGTCCAATGCCATCCTCCTAACCCAGAAGTTCCGGAAGAACTCTGGAAGAACATCATTACGGATGTAATCAGCCTCTACACCTTCGGTGCTTACACATTGCTTAACCACCTTCAACACAATCTTCTTCATTTCTTCATCGGGTGATTGGAACTCACGGATGAGTATAGGCATCACTTCCTTCGTATAATAACTAGCATACACAGCATCCATAAGCGGAATAATGAAACCAATAGCCTTCAAGAAGGCAGCAAGAACCTTACCCCGATGAGACCTAATGCCCTTCCAAAGTGGCTTCAATACTGAATCAAAACTCTCAATACCATAAGGAGCAGCTGCTTCCGCAAGTGCAGCAAGAGAAAGTGCAGTGATTGTCCTCACCTTCTGATTCTCATCACTCAACCCGTGTTCAATGATTTCAACAAGAGATTTCAAGTGTGGAAGCACAGCACATCCCATAAGAATAGCAATCTGCTGAACAATCTTAATACCCGTATGCCGAGCTTGCCAAGACTTCTTACTCTGACAAACAGCCTTCAGGAAAGGCAAGAGTGCAGGAATCCCCAAGGCTGAAGCAACCACACTGAAAGCCCTAGCAGTTGTATTCCTCACATACTCATCAATGTTGTCAATATCCGGCCTCATTGCAGCAATCATAGTGGCCAAACCAGCAGCCTTACTCAGATTGGAAATAATCTCTCTCCCTTCAACACGAGCATAATAGTCCTCATCAATCAACAACGGCTCAATAACCACGAGAATCTTATGAACAAAAGGCCGAACTAGCTCATCCAACTTATACAACACCCTGTCGATAACCTTCACCAAAAGATGCCTCTCTTGATCCTCCAAGGTAGGTTGCATAAGCAAAGGCAGAATCTTGTTAAACAGTGGACCAGCCCCAAACTCCCTGGCTTTATCAGTAAGCTGCCTAAGAGCCGTCTTCCTCTGTGGGGGTGTCCCATTCTTCACCTTAAGCAACAACTTCATAATCTTCCTCTCCTTCTGCTCTTCCTGTGACAACTTCTCCTCCTCTTCCTCATTCAACAAAGCCCCAAAATATTGATAATCCTCCGGCTTCATAAATGGCAAGCCACCAGGAGCCTCCTTTGGCACATCAAACTGCTGCCCACGGTTCTCTTCAGGAATAGCATATAATGGAGTACCCATAGGAGTAGGTGTAGCCAACAACTTCCTCGCCGGAGTTCTAATAGGCACGTAAGAAGCTGGTGGGTCGAGAATCTTATACCCTTCTTGAGGAAACATAGCATCAAGCTCTTCATCAGTCAATGGTCTGTTCCTCTCCTCAATATCCCTCTCCCATCTCATCAAATTATACTGCTCCGGCGTCATTGCACCTCTAAGATTAAGTGCTCCTGGTGTCGGAGTGGCAAGGTCAACACCACCAATGGGAGTAACCCCCGGAGTGAAAGCAGCAGCAGGAGTTGCTGCAGAGCCAGGCAATGGTGTAGCACTTCCCATGCTCGCCGGAGTTTCATCCCATCTTGATCTCTGTCTCTTTGGGGTCGGAGTGGCCAAACCCCCGAGCTTAGGTGTAGCATCCCAAGTCATTCCTGCAGGAGTTGCACCAGGAGTTTACTCCGCCAGCAGCTGAGTTGCATCTGCATCAGCTAACCGACCGCGGTCGGGGTTTCATCCCAGCGGTTGCGACGGGCAAACACCGGGGGTTGCATCGCCTGCAACCCGACCCGGAGTTGGAGTCGCATCCCAGCGCCCCGACCCAATACCAGGAGTAGAATCGGGCACATCCCAATCTGAGCTAGTCTTGGCCTTCTTAGAGCTCGGATCTTCTCCCCCCTGAGATTGATCCCATCTGTTCCTTCTCTTTTGTGGAGCAGGCTCAGGTGCAGCTGCTGCAGCTTCCTTATTATTCTTCTCGTCTTCCTTTTTCTTCGCAATTTCCTTCAAAAGATCCTCTTTTTGTCTCTTCAAGGCCTCCTCTCTCATCACATCAGCATAAGTTCTCACTGAAGGATCCGGAGTCTTTTCTCCGGTCGCAAACGGGTCATTTCTATCCGGTGATATAATCCTATTCAGCCTCCGACGCCTGTAATCATCCTCTCGATCAATAATCCTCGAGGGTTTCTTGAACCCAGAGTCATCGTCGGCCTCAGCACCAGCACGTGGCAGTTCTTTGAGGGATTTGGGGCCGGTGACCATACGACGAAACGACGTCCCGGCCACCGTCTTCTGGCGTCGTCGTCCTCCTCAGTGACGGGGATCGAGCGCTCGTAGCCCTCGAATCGGTTGTCGCGCCAATAGAGACCGGCGTCGAAGGTGACGGAGGTGAGAGGGGCGACCTCCTCCATCTTTCTTCGCTCCTCTTGTGCCTTGGCGATTTCGACGTCGACGGAATCCATGTGGAAATTGAAACCCTAGCCCAAGAGATCTGAAGGGTTTAAGAGAGAGAGGAGTTAAAAAAAAATGCTTTATCGAGATCAGAGGACAAAGGTAAATACTAGGGTTTTGAAAGGAGAAAGGGGTACCTGATTAGGTTTTTCGATGAGTCTAAGAATTTCGATCGAAACGAGGGAGATAGAGATAGAAAGAGAGAAGGGCAGGGGGCGGGGGATATTTATCCGGGGTTCGGGATGATATGAGAAGTCGGTTGTATGGAAGAACCGCCCTAGAGGCTTAATTGCACTTAAATACCCTATAGTTTCTCATATTTTGCACTTATACACCCTCAAATGTTTTTGGCAGCACCTACCCTAAAGTTCTCAGAAATTGCACCTTAACATCCTCAGTTATGGACGCGTGAGAATTTTATATATAAATTCTCATAGGAAAACCGCATATTAATAAAGAATATTTTAACAATTAATAACCGAGAAATTTACTTTTACCTCTATCAAAATCCTATTTTAAAATAAATATTAAGGGTTAAACAATTCTCAAATTAATATGTGGTGTCACATGGCAATTGTCAGAGAAAAATTCCAATGTTTGCATAATTGAGGATGAATTAGTGCAAATTTTAAGAATTTTAGGTACATAAGTATTATCAAAAAATAAATGAGGGTATATAAGTGTTACCAAAAAATTTTAAGTATACCAGTGTTACCCGAAAAAGATGTTACGAAAAATAGAAGGGGGGGGGGGGG